AGGGTTCCAGGTATTTGTCCACATCTCCAACTTTGAGGAGATGTTTGAAGTTCCCATTTACTGGTCTCTTAATCACCTGAAGAGAAGTGGTTAGGATTTTTGTTCTTTAGAGATCTGTAAACTTTATGTTTCTGATGTGCCAAGTAAGTGGGAAGGCTTGCAGTTACTGCATGAGCTTTAAATATGCATTTAAATGAGCTCAATATCATTCAGAATTTTATCAATTGTAAGGCTGGGAAAATGTCACCGTTATGCTAATTTGTTTCCACACCAACCTGACTTGATCTGATCTTAGGGCCTATATGTACACTTGTCCACTATGCAGCAAAAATGTAGGCATTTTAAGTAGATATCCAATTCTTTCCTATGTGGCTGGTTCACATCTCTGCACTGCAGTTTATTGGGAAAGGGAGATTATATAGGCCTGTTCACACCTTACCCACACATGCTGCAAAACATAGTGAGAATCTAGCCTCAATGATATGCTAACATCTTACTCAAATACATGATTTTTCTTCTCTGCATGTGTCATAGTGTTGCTTTGAAATGGTAAAAGCAGCAAAAAAAACACAAACGTTCACTGTGCCCCCTTTTGCTCTATGACATAAAAATCCCACTTATGGGATATCCTTTTTCATCAAATGCATTTATTAGTTTTATTTTGGGTTAATATCTGGAGCTGTGCAAATTATGTAAAATGAAGAGAAGTCACCATCACTCTATAAGTGTAAAATAACCAGCTTGGATTTATTCACAATGTGTCACATGGATACATAGTCCCAACGTCTGGACCACACAGGGTCCCTTCTGCAAGGTAACAGTGACAAATTATACATATCAGTTAACAATGCTGGAAGATAATTCATTGCAAAATATCCCTTCTGACATCATAAAACTGCCAAAAGCGTGTGAAAACTGCATAATGACAAAGAAAATTATGCACAATGAGACAATTACATGCCCCTGCTTTATGTGGGCACTGTGCAATAATAACAGACCTGATTGCGGGAAAACATTATATATATATAGACTGGAGGTGCAAGTAAAATGCAGTTTATTTAGGGCAAACACAAATATATAATTCCATCCTCAGGGTAGACCTCCCCTGTACACAAGGCGGTTTCTAGCCGCAACATAAATTACAGTCTTTTAGCTTTGCCGGGTAGCTTTCCACAGCTCCAAGACACTCACACTGCTCACCCCTCGTGAGCCCTCACTCTGCTCTCTTAGCAGTCTGTACCACAGGTCCTAGGGTCACCGACCTTCCTGACCTCTCCCCTCGTGGCGCTCACTCTGCTCTCCCAGCAGTGCGTCCAACAGGTCACTGGGGTCACCAACCTCTCCCAGCCACCATTGGCTGTTCCGTGTGCGTCCAGCACCCACCCGAGTTTGTCTTTGTCCGTGTGCTCCCTGCACACACACAATTCCAACACTCTCTGAACTCTGGTCCAGACTCCTAATAAGGCTACTCTCAGCCACCTGGTCCAGCTATACCGGTCATTGGTAACACCTGGCCCCAGGACTGGAGATCTCATCCCACCCAGAGCTCTAAAGGTGCCCATACACTGTGCAATTATCGCACGATAATCGCGGGAAATCCCGCAACGTACGATAATCGCAAAGTGTATGGAAGACGTGCAACCGTGACAGATCGCACTCTCGATCATCGCAAGCCCGCCCCCCTCAGGGGCGGGCTTCCGATGACCGCAATGCTGAACGGGCAGTATGCGCGTGTGCACACCGGCCCGTTTGGCATTTGTTTCACGAGCACCGTTCTAACCAGCCGAAAATCGTACGATTCTCGGCTGGTTTTCTATCATGCTCCTTAGACAAAAGACGTGCGACCGGACAGTAGAAACGGTCGCACGTCTTCGTTCACACTGTTCGATTCTCGTACGATCGCGGGATTTCCCGCGATTCTCGTACGAGAATCGAGCAGTGTATGGGCACCTTTAGACAGATTGACATAGACAATCTGACTGAACAATCTCCTTTTGACCTTCTGTCAACTATGTAGTATAAATGTTTCTCTGGTTGGATACTCATTTAAAGCATTGTTTAAGTTTGTTTCCATTTAATTTAGGTAATGCTCCATGACATTGCACAGAGTGTACAATCACATTGAATAACCAGCTTAAGGCCAGGTTCACACCGATTTCCGGACCAAATCTGGAACGTGGTGCATTGCATTTTACCGTGATTTTATCACAATTTTTTCTGCGTTCCGGATCTTTTTTTTTTTGCTTAACATGGGCTTTCAGGTGTGGTCCAGTGTATTTGCATGTGTTTGTATGTGTTTCTGTGCGTTCCAGTGCATTCCAGACCACCGAAAGTGTGACCAGCAGTATTTTTTTTTGTCTGGTCCGGAACGGACTGTGCTGGGGTGAACAGAGTCCAGAAATACCATAGCGATACATTTGGTTGCTTTTTTGGTCTGGGAACACACTGTCCTGGTCTGGACATGATCCGGACATGATGTGAACAAGCCCTAAAGGGTTAGTTCACCTTTCGATGAAAAGTTACTATACAGTCAAATGGGCAGCTTTGATAAATGGTGCTTCTTTTGAATTCCATACCTGTCGGTCATGCAGAGAAAACCCAAAACCTGTCCCTGTCTGACCTAGTTGTGCCATACACTGAGCACTTGCCCCTAGCACCTCAGTTAAAACACGTGCTTGTGCAGTGTACTCTCTCTCTCTCCCATTGGAGCAACACGGATCTTCGCATGGCCAACAGGTAGATATTTAATAGAAGCTCCATTATTTACCCTAGACAGTGATTTTTAATCTGTTCCCACCAAGCGTGCTTACATATTCAGCATTATGGAGGTGGGCCTTGTTCCTTGGGGCTGCATATATACATAGCTGTGTTTGTGCTGGAAGCACACTCCCCTAGCATAAGGGGTGAACTGTCATGGAAAGCTGCGGGCCTAAAAGGAATGATTCAGGGAGCCTGGAGGACCAGTTTCTGATCACATGATCACTGACATAGTCTGTGATTAGCTATCTTAGTTCCACATTTTTTCTCCTCTTTGACTTGTATTTTTTTCTCCTCACTAGAAAAGAATAATGTAAAAAGAAAAAAGTGTAAAATGAATGTCATTTTAGTGTCAGTGTGTGTTTTAGGTAGCGTATTTTTTTTAATATAATTATTCATTGTCAATGTCAGTATATTTTAGGTAGAAAAATTAAAAAATAAAGCTAAATGTGCACTATTGTTTTGGGGATACAAAGAATGCACACATATGTGGTATTGTAGTGAATGACAGGAGTCGGAGAATTTAATTTGGGGGGTTTTGTGGTAGCAGGTAATTGCCAAAATATACACCTAAAGTTAATTTTTTACTATTTTGGGCCAGTTTTTATTTAATAATAAACAAAAATCTGAAGATATCCATCAACATTTAGCACCAAATGAAGGCCCAATTTGTCCTGAACAAAACAAGGTATAATTCATACACAAAATAGTTACAAATATATATAAAGTTTTACTAACACATACCAAGGTTTTAAACCTGGGTTCAGGCATCAAGATTTGTTTATCTTCATTATTAAGAGTTTAATCTACTGGGGCCCCTTGACAGCATAAAAACTTGTATTCAAAAGTTGAACTAACCCTTTAAGAGGTATTTGAATCTGACATGTCTGGTGTGTGTTGTATGGTAAGTTACCTGCTCCCGATCTCTATCCCTAGGTGGCATTTTCAATTTTGCTGAATTTCAAAATGCAATTCTTTGTACAGCATGAAACTGGCATTTATCTTCATATCAATGTGTCTTTTACAATGGCAAACAAGTTGCAAACATTGCAGAGCAATCCCAGCAAAAGGCAAACCCTGAAACATGCATCTTCAAGCTTTAAGTCTGTAGTTTATCTCCACCATCGCCTTATTTATGATATCCTTGTCTCACTGGTTCATATTTCTTTATATTTTCTCTCTTTTTCAGTGTACCAACATGCATGTTTATCAGGTTGTCTGTTTGCAGTCACTCTTATGCCACATTATTCATGTAACTTATATTGACACAGTGCACTGCCTCATCAGGAGATTCCCTAGATGTTCAGTCTCTATGCTCTAGTGGCCATCATATCAGTTGGGTCATCAGCTTTTCTATTCATTGAAATGCAAATGGCACACTCATTATATTGTCTAAGATTGTTGGATGCATAGTTGAGCTGTAATCAAGCAAATCATGTGTTGATGAAGAGTTAGTTAAACAGAGTTCTGGCCTAATACAAATAGTGTGCTTCAGCTGTATCCTTCCCATGAATGGCTTCTAATGAGAGATGAATAAATAATTGGTACGTCTAGACATTTGTGCATTTAAGTTTGTGGAGATCTATTAATCTGGCTTGTTCTGTGCATAAAGTATTCATAATACGGCATCCTTCGACAGAGGCAGGACTTGACCAGAGGTACATGTTTGACTTGCTTGGTATAAACATTTATTTCAGTCTTGTATTCTTCTAGTACATACTTTTAATAATTAAATGTGATTTTATAAATGCATCAAGGCAAACTTAATGAAGATAAAGGTGTGCATTGAGAGTTGATGTTACACTGAACGCCTTTGGGTCTTTTTAAGTCAGATATAACTACAGCTGATTTCTTTTTAGGGAGTGATAAAGTTGCAGTTTTTCACAAGGGACACTTGATTTATTGGTGACCTTAACACACAGGGTTCAGGAAGAAAAAACAAAAAAAAGATAAGACAGAAGCCATATTCCTTTTGAGATTACTGTCGCTGGCTATAAAGCCTAGGGCCTGAAGTAAATCAATTGAACTTTCGTCCACTTTACTAGATAGCAACACAAAAACGAAATGAGACTGATTTTATTAAGAAAAGGATGATATACGAGTCAGTTAAAAGCTTGTCTAGTTTTAAAATTGCTGGTTTTAGTCATAACAGAGTGATCTTTTTTATCTGTCTGTATGTCTTTGACATTACTATGGTAACCTAGAGGGCTGATGGAATTCCCTCAATCTCTCTTTACAGAAGGCGAAGAGACGGGAGTGATGGATAGCCTGCTAGAGGCCCTGCAATCCGGAGCTGCTTTCCGAGACCGCAGAAAACGGACTCCAAGGCCTAAAGGTGACTAGAATACCTTTTATTTCCATTCTAAGGCAATTCTTTATTTATTTATTTTTTGCACATGCTTCTTTCACATTCATCACGAATACAAGGCTACCAAAAACGAAGTGCTTAAAGTGCCAGCAGCAAGCATAATCCTTTTCTATGCAATGACAAATGTCAGGAGAGACGTTAATTCCAGCTGGCTGATGTCAGTACCACTTTGCACACCAATGCACTGAACTTAACATAAGCTGCTGATTATGACAAGGCTCATCATCAAAACCATATGTACTTTATCTCTCTAGGGTATATGCTAATGCGATTAAATAGGATGTACAATCATGATATTTTTTCTTATGTCAAATATTCAGCTGGTACAAGAACCTGTCACAATATTGTATAATTAAGATTAAATGGACCGGGTTTCTTGCATTCCTATGCCATCAAAAGTATCAAGTCAGAGTTTCAACAAAATCTCTTTATGGTTTTTGCAGATGTACAGGACAATTTCAGTTCACCGTCAGAGAGGTCTATTCTAAAGGCTTGTAACCATGGTAATGAAACATGCTTATACATTACAGCCCTGTGCCTATCTTTATTCTGCTGATCTATGAGTTTGGCTTTACTGCAAAAGATATGACAATAACTACTTATTTCTAGCCTGACTGGTGCTGGCAGGCATTTTTAATATTTTCTGCATGCTGCTTTGCTGTTTTTTTCATGCATGATTTTTAACAGTTTAACATGTTATGATACATTGTCTTAAATAAACCTGTAGGTATCTCACAAGATATAAAGTAAGATTTGCAGGTATTCACTGGCACTCACTTCCATAGGCACCCTCCTAGGTGATAGCGCTCAGGCCTGCTGATTAATTTCTTGCACCCCTTTCACTGCATTTTGGGTTGGGAGCAGGGGCCGTGCATTTATATCACTACAAGAACATCCCCCAAGTAGTGCTGAAGAGAAATATCACAATGAAAAAGTTATGATCTGACAGCATATTATTTTCCCAAACCCTACACCTGTTAGTTTGTATCCAGCAAGATACCCACAGGTTTACTGTACGATATTAAAAGGTATGCATCGTCAAACCTTTTTTTTTTTAGTTTTGCATAGAGTAGGGAAGCAATGGCACCCCTGTCAAGTTTTTATTGCTGTCTCTCTCTCCTCGTTAGGTAGTTTTATCCCTCTTTGTTTGTCCTGGTTACCATCTTCACCAACACATGGTTATGGGAAATTCAACATTTTACAGTTGTCACCAGCACAAGAGTCAATGATACATTTTTCATTGGGGAGTCTTATTCTGGTAATAGCTTTCTAAGAAGGAAACCCGGCTCAATTTGTCTGAATTTTCTCTTACTTCCTGTTGTGTCTCCATGGCAGAAAGTGAGTGGAAATCTCCCCAAATAGAACAAAGGCAGCAAACAATAAACTGACAGGGGTTTACCCTTTCCATGTTCTGTCTCAATCTGAATTTTGTCTGTACCTATGCCTTAATGAAAATTAAAATGCCTCAGAAAAAAATGTTTACCCTAAGGAAAAGTGAGAACCTTAAGATAGCACCTTTATTTTATTTATTTATTTTTACTTACTACTGTCTTCATTCTTTAAAATTGTTTATATGCAGGTAAGTAATATGCGAATTCCACAATGATTTTTAAGTCCTGTCCTCAGCTTGCTATGTTTTGAAATATTTGAACATTCACTTTGCGGATTGAACAACCTCTTCACCTTTAATAAATCAACCACTGTATTGTCAACCTAAGTAATAGAAGTAAATGAACATGTACTGTACCAGTCTTGAATAAGAATTAAGGGATGGATGAAATGCAGTCATCCCAATAGTTAGATGCAACATGTGACTTTGCAACTGTCACACTTTGACTCTTTAGATCAAGAACTGAACAATCACAAACCGCTGATAGCTCAACTCACGGTCTTCTCCCAGCAGAGAGTGGTGCTTGTCAGTCACTGCTCCCCACAGGGATTCCCCCAGCTGCCAATCATGGAAAGGGGAAGATCCCAACAATATTGGCGGGATCTTTCCCGGCTGCAGTACAGGTCTGCGCTCTCAGCATATAGTGGGCAATAGCACGCTATAGAGTTTTGGGTTACAGGAGGACATTAGTAAATGTCCTCCTGTGACTCCAAAGAGAACTAGAGCCAAAAAAAGCCATAGTTCTCTTGTGAATGAGCTGCATGTTTTTTAGTTGTCAAAACACTGCATTTTAGATGCAGGTTCCTTTGTTTAAAACCGATAAAACAAGCTTGGATACATTGCTGCCCTCCTAACTTCCTCATTAGAATTTATATTTTGCCCATTTGTTCCAGGCCTGTAATATTTTAAAAAATTGTGAAACTAAAGGAAGTACATGTCAGTCAGGCAGCTGGTATTTTCAAAATGCAATGGCAGCCCGCATATATTTCTCATGCTATGTCGCATGAATTTATTGTACGGTTAGGAAGTGAAGTATATGATATTCTAAGGTCTCTTTTTTGTGAAAAAAAAATTATGCTTGTGTAACTACACAAGTTTATTTTTACCAGACTTATTTATTGGTGACATTAAGAAACATGTATCACATTCTCTTACCACACTTCTGTACTGGTAAAATATATAATTTATGCGCATGTAAACAACTTACTCTCTTCAAATGTATAGCATATGCATACAATATGACACTATGGAATCCATTTTGCGAGGTTGATGAGCTTTATACTTGGAGAGGATGAAGACAGAAATATAATTTCTGAGAGTAAAAAAAAAAAAAGATGAAAGGGCACCTCACATAGCACAGGTTTTATTAGGATTTTCAGTGACAAGTGAAAACACAATATGAATTCATGGAAAAGCAGAGTGGGGGCATTGGCAGTATACAAATAGGTATTCCTCTAAGCTGTCCATTTTTTCCTTGTTATCCTAACAATCTTCACAATTTGCTCTGTCTTATTACATGTTGAAATTATAGATGCTCCCATCCGTTTTTTACAGCCACTTACCTGTAATGTGCAGATATTGTGTTTAGTTATCGAGATATCCTAATCTGACAAGAAAATGAAAGGGGAAAATTTAACTACCGTATATACTCGAGTATAAGCCGAGATTTTCAGCCCATTTTTTTGGCTGAAAAGTGCCCCCCTCGGCTTATACTCGAGTCAGCGTCAGGTGTCTTCTTACTTACCTCGCCGAGCGTCGCGTCACTGCTGCTCCGGTGGGCGGCGCTCCGAGCGGGGTCATCTGGCAGTCTCCGGGTCCTAATTTAGGTGGCCGGAGACTGCCAGATGACCCCGCTCGGAGCGCCGCCCACCGGAGCAGCAGTGACGCGATAATTTTATTGGTATCTATCTACCATTAGCTGCCTCATTTCCCACCCTCGGCTTATATTCGGGTCAATACTTTTTCCCAGTTTTTTGTGGTAAAATTAGGTACCTCGGCTTATATTCGGGACGGCTTATACTCGAGTATATACGGTAGTCCCTTATCTTGTTAAAAAAAAAATAGTTTACAGTTATATGTATATGCATTTGTGTGTATGTATATCTATCTATATCTATCTATATATCTATCTATATAGATATCATTTATCCTACTATTATGCTACTATTTCTAAAGTCAGATGCATGAGACATGAAACTGAAAGCAAAAGTAATAATCCAAGGCATCCCATTGTTCCAGTTAGCATAGCGAGGGACAGAGATCAAATAGAAGCCAGTAACATACTATGTATATTGCTTGCATCTCTATAGTTTCTATGAAGAGTGAGGAAAAGCTGTTGACTGGAGAGATAAATGTGTGCTATTAGTGTTCTAGGCTTTTTACTGAGTACTAATACAGGACATCTTATGATAGTATTATAATAATATAGTA